GAACTTCAAAAACTATACAGAATGAACTATTACAGTTCATGTTTGAAGTATGCAGAGAACATATTTTGCAAGAAATTGTAGGCAGCTCTTTTCTTGCAATTATGTGTGATGACACAACCGATATTTCGTCACAAACTCAAATGGTTTTAGTGTTTCGCTATGAATTGAACGGCAATGTTTTTGAAAGATTTTGGGGATTCTCCAAATTAGGGAAAAATATATTATCTACTTCAGCCCCACATGTTGGAATTTTACTTCTCGCATTGTATCTAAGTTATGTACCTACACACTGACAGTATTCATTGCAAAACGCAATGCGCGGCGCTAAGCGGGGGCCTGCCCGCAGCTCTTATCATGTATGTTCTCTCTTCAAAATGCGCCTCCCCTGTAGTCAAACCCATGGGCCGCCACTGGTTATAAAGCAAGTGTCTAAGTATCACCAATTTCACTGTACAGGGCCGTATTGTTTGATTTTTAAATCATATTATTTATGAAATCTTTGATATGCTTATAATAAATTGATTAAAATTTGGTGTAGTGTTTTAACATTTACACATGTGCATAATGTACTACTGTAAAATTTATAAATTTTTGTAGGTCAGTGGCGTAGGAATAGGTAGTAAAGTGGGATTTGTTTGCCCCAACTACGCCAATGATCGAATAATCATTTCCATTCATTTTTAGATTCCGTGGACAATTCTACATAAAAAAGGTATACTTGTTGAAAATCGGTACAGTGTATCATTTTAACGAAAATCTCAGTTGAACAGGAGGCTGTTCTGATAAGAAATTTAGTTTCTTAAGGATAGGAAATAAATTTTAAATTAATATTATTATAATGTCAAGTATTAACTTAGAATTCAAAACAATATTAAATATATGTCTACATTGGCAAAACAACTGGTAAATTATAAATATAATACCTTGTGTACTATTTATTGGATTCATAATGTGGTGAATTTCCCCTTTGAGTTCATTTTTTTTTTGTGCTACAGTACGGTGGACAGCATATTCAATGGCGCCTTCTCTAAAATTTCATTTGTGCCATTCTGAAGCAATTTTAGGTATCCTTGCTCATTCAACAGCCCGTTTGTTTTAGACGTATAATTTCTTTAAAGAATTACACCTACATACTAATTTTAAATCGGCGCTGTGCGTCCATTACAGTTTCCGTACACAATGATTGCCACGAATAAACAACAAAGCAATAATAGATTTATCTGTCATCAGAAACTGTCATTTTATTTTTAAGATTTGAAATATTAGTGTTTGTAAAAAAATGGATGAATATTCAAGTCTTTCAAAAGAACGGTCTCCAATTCAAGAAGATTTTCGGTAAAACGATACACTATACCTACCGATTTTCAACAAGTATACCTTTTTTATGTAAAATTGTCCATGAAATCCAAAAATGAATCTCATACAATTATTGGGTCATTGGCAATTCTCAACTATTTATTGAGTTCTATTTGTGGTTGATTCACCCGAACTGCAGCGGTGGCTTGTGACATTCAGAATAGGTGAAACATCTTTATTCACTGACTAAAAAGAAAAAAAAAAAGCGCTGCAGGCGAAAATTTTTAAATTTTCTAGGTCAAATGGATTTAAATGAATCTAGAAATTTTTAGTTGCATTTACAATATTACCGAAAAGCTGATGTCCGCGATAAGGATTTTCATTTAGATTTTATAAAAAATAGAAGTATTAGTTCCGCTTGCAAACATTAAAGCACACTGAACATTCATGTTTCAAAGAAGCTTCATGGTTACGACAGCCTCGCATGACGTTCTCAAAATTATTAAATCCCTCCTTATTCCACACGCCCCAGTTTTTTTAAATAAATACATCCACACAACCATTTATACTCCGAATACCATTCATTTCGAAACTTCTGATGGTACACTTTGTCTTTTGACTTCCCCCTTTTTTCCACATCGAGAGAAGGCACATGTCTCTCGCAATTTAAAAAATCCTTTTGTCCTTAATTTTCAATATGGAAAATGACATTTCCAATAAAATACATACTGGATTATACATACGAAACATTTCTACAAATTATTGGTATAAAACAATAGGCCCATTCAGCAGAATTTTTTTTTGCATATTCCAAAAGTTTACCCTTTAATTAGTTAGTATGTCAAAAATCTATTTTTTATTTCAACGAGAAATGTGTGAAATAAATTAATGAAAACAGAGCGCGGAAAAACGTTGGGCAACCATTGCCTGATGTCATAATACCGGTACGGGCGACTGGCAGAGCATTCCGCTTGCGCTCGCGCTCATGCTCGCTCTCATCCCATTCTGTGTTATACATACGGTGTGTGGTTCGTTTGGCAGTTTCGTTAAACATTGTTTTTATGTCTAAATGGATCGAAACCGAGGATTGTACAAATATTGTATAGTTCCAGGCTGCAAAAGTACCTCAGGAGCAACTCCGAATAAAATATTTATTTCATTACCGAAAAATTAAAAGTTTGTGTTTTCCAGCCACGGTATGCAACTCAAAACCACCTTCGTTTTTCTTTGGTTGCACGTCTATGGGGGTTGTAAAATATTATTATTTGAACATTTGGAGCACAATTTTCAACTTTATGCCGGAAAAAATTCTACCCCATCTAAATGTTCGTGTTCACAAAAAATTCGAAATACGTCGGCAAGAGGGACCTATAAGCAGTTAAGAACCACTCTCGTTTTTCTTTGGTTGCCCGTCTAGGGGGTTATAAATATTATTATTTAAACATATAGAGCAGAATTTTCAAATTTATGCTGAAAAAAAAATGTCTACCCCATCTAAACGTATCCGTTTACAAAAATTTCGAAATACGTCGGCAAGAGGGACCTGTAAGCAACTGAGAACCAGCCTCCATCTAAACGTTCCCGTCCACAAAAATTTCGAAGTACGTGGCGAGAGGGATCTTATAAGCAATTTATTTAAATAATAATATTTTACAACCCCCTAGATGGGCTACCAAAGAAAAACGAGGGTGGTTCTGAGTTGCTTCAAATACTAGTCAAAGTACTACTGGCACATACACGTCGTCGCATAGATCCACAAGTACCGAGTCTAGTACGTTGGGTACATTTGTACAAAAATGGAACGCAAAAGAAAATGTAGAAAAGCTAACCATTTACGTCATTGAGAAAAATCCGAAAAAATATTTAGGTATTCCAAGTCGTTCTATGTTTATAATAAATATGTTGTGTGAAAAATGTATTTCAAGAAGACTTAATCTATATCTCTTATACACTCTATTTATACACTTAAAAATATAGATATATAATATAGGTAAAAGCATAGCAAATATCTACACATCTCTCCGACTGCTTGCGACTTGATCGCCGAGTGGTTGGTATCGTGACGTCATTACCTGTTCTCCCGCAGTGTTGACCTTTTTAAGGGTCTTACAAATTCAGAATTAAATATATCACTTATTATTAATCCTATTGACCTAATTTTTTAACGATATATTTAGGTGGTTAAATACTATCAGAAAATGAAAGAAAAAGTTTAAAATTATATATCACTGAATGGGCCTATTATTAATAAAGAACCGTTATAATTGTGCACTGGGCGACGTATCATACACCAGGCGATGGGCTGCTTCAATTTCTGCGTCACTCGTTCCCTCACGCCGTAGCTTACTCCGATGTTGGTCGCCTCATTGCCATGACAACCGCTGTAAATAATGCTATGAAGAGAAGCAGATACAAACTGATTTCAATCTGCGTCACTTGCATATACTATATGTGGTATGGTATGAGATTGATGTTCACGCTCAACGAAGGCAATGTTTTTTTACAAGGCGCTCACCGGGCAACTATTCTGTTTATTTCTGCGTATAAAACAATCAAACACAATACATTGCCAATATAGAATTATAACTAAATTATAAAATTTATATAAAATTAAAAATAATTTTAAATTGCACAACCAAAGGGAAATTTTAGGTGAAGCGGTGTGTCACTTGCGTCACCTGGCAAGCCGCCACTGCCAAACTGAAACACTCTGTATACAAATTGTCATACAATGGCATGTAAAAAATGGAGCACACCCTGTTTCAGATTTAAGAATGTTTTCTTATACAGAGCTTAAGCAAATATGTTTATATTTTTATTGCAGGTGACTTTACAACTTCTGTTCATGTTTTACAATAATGACAGTTTTCTTTAAAATTTTCTCGTAATTTTTTTGTCTCATTAATAGTTTTTGTGTAATTAATTATTTTATCAGCATCACTAATGATTTATTTGATAATAAAAATTAGATAATCCTTTGTGGAGCATAGAAATTTTCTATAAGTCACAAAGCATTATTTCATTTTTATTATCAAATAAATCAAATTTCTGATGACAATGCATTAATGCATTAATGATAATTAATAAAATAATTAAGTGAAAAGCACTAGAAATACAAAAAATTTAGGAGTGAAAACACTTGACTAAATAAGAACTGTAGTTGTCACCTTAAAAAAAATGAGTATATTTGTTTAAATGTGGGGATATTTTTACCATTTCTGTAAACATAATTACTTCGGTTATTATGTCAAAACGTTACATCTATAAATGACTAACAGCTATCAAATTAAAATTAAATTAGATAAAACTTTTTTTAGTCATTTGAAAAATACTAAAACATTTTGCTATTTTTAATGCCTTCTAAGAGCTACATTGAAAAACTTTAAATTGAGGTTAGCTTATATAAATCATCTTATTCTGACCCCATGAATCTGTAGCGGCTCTATGTACATGGATTATTGGGATACCTTGCAGCAAGTGCAAATAATAAATATATTTTTTTCATTTTTCAAATTTTATTTGTATGACACATTAAACGAAAATTTGGGAAAATCACTAGTCTGTTGAAATACTATTGAGGTAATATAACTGTTAGCAATTTCTGCATTTTTTCTTGCTCACATAAAAATGTGAAAGCACAGATATTGCCACTGCATTAATAGCATAAAAATGTATAAAATTAAAATCGAGATTAAAATACTTACGTCACCACTGAAGTATTGCTCAATTATATCATATGCTAATTTATAAATTTCAATATTGTCGTGATTCTGTAATGCTTCAATTTTATCGAGACCATTGCATTCTTCTATCATAGTGCATAGCTGTTCAACTTGTGGTCCTGCCATTCTCAGCATATTGTTAATTCCATCTAAGACCACTTGAATGACCATGGCATCCTTGCAATTCAATAAATCACAGAAAGGTGGAATTACTCCCTCCTGAATAAGTCTAGCAACTTGATCTTTATTGCCACCTATAGTAAGGTTACTTATTGCCCAAGCTGCTTCTTTTTGTGTTTGAAAGTCTCCTTTACTTAAATTGTGTATTATTTTTGGTAGTAAACCTAAACAAAAATGTTCATTACTATTAGATTTTTTTTTCATATCACTCAGAGGCTAGTCAGAAATGTAGATCCAATTTTAAATTACTTTTACCTTTCACAGAATTACATTAACAACTGGTCTGTCTATGATTTATGAAACTAGATCCAGATTGTATTATCAACAGACATTATTTTTAAATACACTAATGGAAAAAATTAAGAGAACAAAAAATTCTTATGAATTTTTTAGTAATTTTGAAAGGCTGTACACACTGAAAAATGGTCGTATCGAGATAATAATAAAAAACCATTTTGAAGCTTTAAGTCTCTATTTTCAAGATCTTTAGACAAAAAATTTTTTTGAGCAATCAAAAGAAATACCTTGAGAAAAAAAATTCCAATTTTAGGTCAGTTAGCTTATTTATTCAGCTTCAATTTGATTTTTGAAAGGCTATTGGTTACCGAGATATTGATGGTTGAATGAAAAATAACACTTTTGTCTTTAATTATCTTTTTTTTTGAGAAAAAAATAGGAATAAAAACGTCAAATATAAAATAAATATTAGTGCTGGCAAAAACCGGAAAAAGTGAAATCGGTTAACCGGGTTCCGTAAAAACCGATTTCAGATAAAACCGGTTAGTCGAATAGTTGCTAAAACCGGTTATTCGAATAACCCGTTACTTGAATAGCCAAAACCGGACATCTGAAAATCGATGCTTTACAAAGACAGACCTGGAGAAATTGATGTCTAAAAAAAAATAGGTTTACAAAAATTTGGAAGTCAAATTTGTTTACGAAGAAATCGATCTACAAAAAAAAAGTCAATTGCAATCGGACAAATCGATGTCTGAAAAAAAAAAGGAAGTGATTATCGAATAATCGGTTATTTGAAAATAATTGGTTATTTGAATAATCGGATATTTGAAGAATTGAATAACCGAATAACCGGTTTTCGGATTTCGTAAAAATCCTAATTATCCGAAACCGGTTAACCGACTATCCAAAAAACCGATTTCAGTTACCAGCACTAATAAATATACCTGATTTTTTAAAAGAAAATTTGTTGAAAGCTCCTAACATTACTCTAGCATTTACCGTTAGCATATATCAACTACTGCACACTGTTTTGCCAGTATTACACCGAACTCAAATTTGCAACTTTTTATATTCAATAGGAGTCAAATAAATAAGCATCATTTTAGATGTATGTCAGAAACTTTGAAATGTCTTTATAAAAACATTTACAGCCTCTTTTTGTCCTTGTCATTCCTATTTTCATAAATAAACTATAGATATAATTGCATCATATGCCAAGAAGGTAAACAAACAAGTTTTTCATTTCTACAAAGATTCATTGGTTAAGTATTTTCTAATTCTAGAAAATAACTTCAGCAGAATGGCATTTGTCTACTTTGAAAAGTAAAGATGAAGTGTTGGGCAAATTTGCAATTCAAAAATATGACAAAAAATCAAAGTAACATACATATAAAAATATTTAGAACCGACAATGGTGGAGATTCTGTACATAACAATATTAATATAATTTTAATGTTTAAAAAAAAATATAGGATAATTCATCAAACTACAAATCCAGAAGCTATTATTTGATGCAAGATTGGAAAAAAACTTTGAGCTGAAGCAGTCATGGGATAAGTAAAAAAAATTACTGTGAGGTATAGTGATACAACAAAAAGGTACCTATTGAAGAAACTGGATTTCTTAGGAATAACAGCAGAGGACCAATACACATCAAATTTTGAAGATTATAGGAGTTTTATGTGTTCTAATCAGTGGTTTTGACAAGCTGTTAACTATGAAAGAACCCTTTTGGGACCAGCTTCAGAGAAACGAAAGCAATGCAATTCAAGAAAATCTGCAGTTTCTTGAGAACAATAAAGCATAAGAGTTACAAAGTCTATCGGAGGAAATATCCATCATCGGCAGTAAGTGTTGAAGAAAAAAGTGTCTACTGATGATATAGTGAGGTACAAAGTACAATTAGTGCTTCACACAAAGGCTCGGTGTGGACAATGGTGAGACCATCTCACGAGTAGTTCATTATTCGACTCTGAGATTTCTCATGGCATTGCCTATAAAACCAGAATTAGATACTATCCATCTAGATATAAAAACAGCTTTCCTTAATGGTTTTTCCAAAATGAAAATACATAAAATTTCGAATGGTTTAATTGTTCTACTCCAGACAAAAATAAGGGTTCTAAATTAAGACAAGCTGTTTATAACTTAAAACAATCTTCCAGGGCGTGGAATGAAAGTGTAAATATTACTTTACTCGGTTTAGGCTATAAAAAAATTTAGGCTATTTATAAAAAATCATGATGATGTCACTACAGCTAGGTGCATTGTATGTTAAAGGTTTCTTCGTCTTTTCAAATAATTTGGTAGAAACCAATTTTTTCAAGAGAGAGTTTAAAGTGCCAAATTTAAAATCAAAGACTTAAATACAGGGTGTCCCGAAATTCATGTAACAAAATTTGGTCATAGATTCTTAAGACAAATTTAAGAGACCCATATTTTTTCTTTTTGCCAACTGGCCCCCTCTTTCGGAGTTACAGCCCCCTGAAATTGCCCCTAAGAAGTCTTTTTTATATCTCAACTACTCAACCACTAAATTTGGTACACAGGGGTTTTATGACATGTGGAATCTCACAGTGCTATGCTTTTTGGCGAGAAACCCCCTTAAGACACTTTTTCGTGGGCCCCCTTGTCTTTGGAACCAGAAAAATTTAGTCGCAAATTTGATTTTTTTAAAAATTATTAGTTAGCTAGAAGTCCATTGAATTTAGAACCTTTTTTGTCTCGTGATATTTGTTTCATAAAACGCAATGTTTTTGAGGAAAATGGCGAATCACGAAATGCATTCGATCACATTTTGACATTTTTCTCGAAAACATTGCGTTTTATGAAAAAAGTATAAAGTAACAAAAAGTTTCTAAATTTAATGGCTTTTTAGTGGACTGATAATTTTTTAGAAATTTAAATATGCGACCAAATTTTTTGGCTCCAAAGACAAGGGGGCCTACAAAAAATTGTCTTAAGGAGGTTACCTGCCAAAAAAACGTAGTACCCTCAGATTCCACATGTCATAAAACCCCTGTGTACCAAATTTAGTGATTCTCGTACAACAGGGTTCTGAGATAAAAAAAAAGGTTATTCTCAGGGGCGGACTTCAGGGGGCTGTAACTCCGAAAGAGGGGACCACTTGGCAAAAATAAAAAATACGGGTCCCCTAAATTTGTCTTAAGAATCTGTGACCAAATTTTGTTGCATGAATTTCAGGACACCACGTAGAGTAAAACAACATTTGGGCATGGAAATCAATGTAGATAGGGCGAATGACACTGTCTCAATGTTAGGAAAAGTATATTAAAAAATTACTTGAATCTTATAGAATCCACACTAGATTTTTTTGTCAGAAGTAGGAGAAACAGGTTGACCGTACAAATATAACCACATATTTTTTTTTATTCCCCTGTACAATAACTCCCAATTTTTTTTGTCACTAGCTGACTTTATTTAGAAACTTTTTTTACTCTAGCAAAATTTTGATCAGATGAGTAGTATATTTTCGTAAGTCTGCATAATAATTCATTGTGCAACAAATAACGAAGTAGGTACCAGAAGTTGACTATGATATTTTGAGGATAAACTGAGAGGTTCTTTCTTTATAAGTAGTTAATATTTAGAAATCTTCAGATACTTTTGTCCATATAATTAAAAAGAATAACAAAACAACAGTTTCACCAAGCTTAAACTTTAATTATGACCGATAACGATACAATTTGAAAATTTAGAAGGTTTTTTCTTCAGCACAAAATGTTTTCTTGTCATATCTTCGCTTTATTCACGTCTGTACCTTCTAATCAAATTCTGATTAGTCTTCTCTTGGCTTAAAACAGGAATATCTGCATACAGATCGCAGGTCCTGTGATACTAAACTCAGCTATTTGCTGGCCTTTTAAATAATGATTAAACCAACCCTCTGCCTACTACCTTTTTATTAATTCCAATAACAGCTTACTAAATAATAATTATAATAATTATGTGTTACCTCCAAAATGACTATCACAACTGTAAAAAAACATGCACGGTTGAGAGAAAGAGGCTCAAGGTTCTGATTTATGTTTCATTTAACAAATAATACAAGGTTGTCAAACAAAAAAAAAACAAAACATTTAGAGTAAATGTTCAAAGTGACCACTGTTTTCATGTATGTAATAATTAACCTGTTTTACGAAATTGTAATGAAGCCTCTGCATGGTTCCTCTTCATTATTAACAGTGGATGCATAAACTTGTGTTTTCAATGCACCCCACTTAATAATCGCATGGGGTTAAGTCCGGTGCTCGAAGTGGCCATTTTATAGGAGCATCGTCTCGCCTTCCAATCCACTTGTTAGGATACCGATCTTGCAAATATTGACAGACGAGTATTGTAAAGTGGGGAGGTGCTCCAACGTGCATGAAGCACATGTTGTGACGAAGTAGTAAGGGTAAATCGTCCAGGTAATACTTGTTGTAAAAAGTTTAAATAGTTGTCCCCATTTAACCAATGAGGAAACACAATAGGACAATAATAAAATTATCAGTAATTCCCACCCACACGTTTACTCTAAAATCATGCTGAAAATGCCGTATTTGAGTAGAGTGTGGATTTTCATCTGCATAAATGTGTTGGTTATCGGTGTTGACTATTCCTGACCTAGTGAAGAAGGCTTCGTCAGTAAATAAAATATTTTTACTAAAGTTGACATCATAGGCCCTCTGATTTTGTATAAAATTTTTGGGTTATCTTTTATCTTATTTAGAATTTGTTATTCCACCTCTGGAGTTCTTGTGGTACGCTGACGCCCTTGACCCTCAATCCTTCGCTGAAAAGTTCCAAATTCGAGAAGTGGCCTTTCAATTCTGGCAAAAGTTTTATGATTCGGCACTCGCTGATGAGGAAATCTTCCCCTGTAAACTCTAGCACTTTCACGGCCATTGTTTTGACAAATCCA